GAGGTTGTAGTGAGGTGGGTGTGGGTCTCTTTTCCTGAGTAACAAGCGATAGGACGAGAGGAAACGGCCTCAAGTTGTGCCAGGGGAGGTTTAGATTGGACATCAGGGAAAATTTCTTGACCGAAAGAGTTGTCAATCATTGGAACAGGGAAGTGGTGGAGTCACCATCCCTGGAGGTATTTAAAAAACGTGTAGGTGAGGTGTTTAGGGACACGGTTTAGTGGTGGACTTGGCAGTGCTGAGTTAACGGTTGGACTCAACGATCTTAAAGGTATTTTCCAACCTAAACGATTCTATGATTCTATGAAAAGGGTGAAATCCATAATCCTGCTTGATTTCAGCTGTAGCAAACTTAGGCTCACTTTCTTATGCTGCTGGTACCTTCAAAATCCACAGGCGGGGGATAAGAGAAATGTTATTGTACCAATTTCTCCTGAATACAAAGATCATGAAAATGGATCTATTTACTTTTTGATTGAAACTGAGATGGTCATTTACAGAAATGTGGTTCTTATTCAGAATCACTTATGAAATAAATACCTTGTTAGTTTCTTCTGCCTTTGCTGATGAACCTGTATTTAAGCTGGTGCTTGCCAGATTGAAAAGAAACACTTTAACATGCCAGTCTGCAGCACTGGAACTGAGGCAGTGAATGTGGTTGGTACTAGGAAAGGAATGTTTCCATCATGGTCATATTGGATAAGGACTGAGACCTCTTTCAGCTGAGTGCCTCTGTGAACATGTTGGCAGACTAGAAAACATTCCAAGCTGAAAACTGAAACAAGCTCTGGTTGTACCAGCAACTTCTGGCTTTTCTGAAAAGATATGCTGGCTTCAGAAGAACATGCTCTGAGCACACTGGCACAGAACTGGGTTCTGCTTTTAAATTCCTGTCTCCATACACTGCTGCACATTAGCTTTATTACTGTCTCTGTCTTCCCAAAACAGCAGAGTTGGCAAGATCTCTATTCCCTCAATGCCTCTTTAGTTCTCAGTCAGCTTGACTTACTTCGCATTCGTATTCACCTTCACTTACCTCAGTTCCAGTTTACAACTCCCGTAATAATTTTAAAAACAGCTTTTGTGATCTTTACCTCTATTTTTTTGTTCGCTACACTCCCTTTTCTCTCCTTACGAACCTGAACTGCCACCTTTCTCCATGCTGACTTTAGAAGGTAGAGACAACAAGCTGCTTTTAGAGGAGCAGGATCCCAATCCCATATTAACACAAGTTTGGCCATGTATTCTGTTTCCACTGAGCATTTTCTTTAATGCTCTGTGGAAAGGTGCCTTTGTTCTCCCATGTCCACCCCTCTCCCTGTGACTGCAGAAGGATGTTGTACAGAACAAAGGGGCATTGTGTTTCAGGTGTGGAAGAAATTGAATTCATGCAGCTCATGTTCAGAGAAGATTTCATCAGTGACAGCTATTTTGGTGGGAACCTGCATGGAATAATAGCTACAGAAGAGCTTCACTTTGGTGAAGGCATGCACCGGAAAGCCTTCCGAAGTAAAGTGATGCAAGGCCTCGTGCCAGTGTTCAGTCCCGGCCACCCCTGTGTTCTCAAAGTGCACAACGCTATCACGTATGGGACCAAGAGTAAGGATGATCTGGTTCAAAAGAACTACAAACTAGCACTGCAGGTAAGCTTCCCCTGTCCTTTGCAAGCAAGAATTGTGGGGAAAAGCTGTCTTACAAATATTCAGAGAGATGATCTATTAAATATTTTGGGTGATATTCCATAGGCATATCTGTTTGTAATACAGGAATGCTACGTCCAAAATACTGCAAGAGAGTACGCAAAGATATATGCAGCTGAAGCTGAACCCTTGGAAGGCTTTGGGGAAGCTCCAGAGTGAGTATATATATTTTTTTATATACATATACACATATGTGTATTATATGTTGTCATGTGCCACAGCTGCCCACTGGCTGCTAGGAGTAATTACTAAAGAAGAAAGAGGAATCCTGAGAACAGCGTTACAGCTGGAGTCATGACCTAAATAATACTGAGTATCAAGGTGGTGAGAGATTCCATTCCCATTAGAGAAGGATAATGAGGAGTAAAGACAGTAAATAGCAGGCAAAAGGCATGATTTTGATATAAATTTAGAGGAAATTACTCTTGTTAGTGAAGTAACACCAGTAGGTGATACTACTAGTATCATCTAGTAACAGCAGTAGGGGATAAGTCGGGCCTTCCAGCTTGCCATTAAAAATGAAATCTTGAGAGAAATCATGATCGTTCTGAAGCTGGTATTAAGTCACTGCTTAGGCAAGTTTTCTATGTATAGAGAGTCTTAAGCCAGAAAGCTCGGCTCTGATTCTAGGTTTTCGTAAAGACTGGTTTATTTAGTTTCAGAAGTTTTCCATTTCCCAAATACGTGTACATCAGACCAATAGCTCAATACCGGTTCACCTTTGCCTCTGAGGCTGGGAAGTGGCACCTTGAGGATTTGGTAAGGGATCTTTTTCAAAGGATTTGCTGTTCCAGTGTCAGGCTACTGTGTGGAGTTGGATTTGCAATGGATAGTTGAAATTCCATCTGCCTTGCTTCAAGGATAAGACCTACATGCCTGACAGCAGGCTAAATCTCCATCTCCATTTAGATGTCACAAGATCTGCTCAGCTGCACTGATTCCCTGAAAAAAACCCGCTACTTAAAATACAGCCTCTGGAATGATTCTGTAAAGCCACCTTTTCAGGATTAGAAATAGTGATGGAGATGACAGTGAGATCTTTTAGGGAAAGTACTCGTGCAAGTCAGCTTCTTTTCTGGAAATATATTGCTCTTGGTAATATTTGCGTTTGAGAGATTTCTCTAGGCATGGGATATAGCCTCTAGTTTTAGTATGAGAGAGAAAGTCTGGTGCAGATAACAGACACATGGAAGGTTCAGATCTGGTGCTTTATTCTAAACAATTGGCTGGAAGACAGCAGATAGGAACAAAAAAGTGATGTGCATATGCTTTTGGTTTGCTTTTTAATTTCAAAATTTTAAGGCTAGATTCCTTTCTTCTAGCCAGTCCTTGTCAGACCAAACTTGTATTTAAAAGAGGGTGTATTTCTTGCAACGTTTTGTAAGATAAATAGAGCAAGAGAAAAGTCATCCGTGTTCTCCAGAGTTAGCTTTAAAGCTATAGCCTTAGCCCATCTGTGCATGTTTGACTGTAAGAGAAAGCTGAGGAAACGATAAAGCACTGCCCTGTAACTGTCAGTGGCCTGGCAGCCAAATGTTTGTAAAGGGGCAGGAGGGGGAGAGAGAGAGATTCTGTGGTCTTGAGGTTACTTATGATATTCCACAATGGAGTAGCGCTAACAATTCTATTAACCAGTGACCCATTTATTTTCTTGTCAGTGGGCAGTAATGTGAAACTATGTGGAGCATTATATACTGACAAAAGCTGGTCACTGTCATGATACTGGTAGACTTAAGCTGATGTCATACCTTGATTGAGTAGGTTAGAACTAGACAAGTGCCTACAGTTGCAGTGATTGTTCCTTAGAAAGAGAATAACTACTGGTATAAAGGCCATTTTTACGAGTTTAACTGCATGTGCTGTAACAATAAGGGTAATATATCACAACAAAAAATATATTAATGCTGTCGGTAAAGCTTGATTGTGGACTAGGACTGCAAGACTTATACAGAAGTGCTCTGTTTTATGTGGTTTTCTGTCTGTCTTATGACTATTCCTTCTAGACCTCTTCTCAGTGTATATAGAGCACATATATACGTTCAAAATTCTGCCGTTTCCAGAATCCAGTACAAGTATGTCTGGAAGAACTATACCACCCCTTTGGCAGTGTTGGTGTAAGAGACAAGACTGTTCGTAAGAAAGCAACTAGCTAGAAACCTGTTCCATGGTGACAGTCATTTCCCCCATTTGTTCTGAGATACTGCTAGGAGCTCTTATGAGCGAGCTGATAAAATACAGTTGTGTTCTGTTACCAGCTCCAGCTGAACAGCTTACTCTAGGGTTTTAATTTTGTAGACTTACACTGTAGTATCAGAGTGCTGCCTAACAAGTATGCTGGGTTTTTCTAGTGTAAATACAAACAGAAGACTTATCTGTGAGGTAGAACACTGCTTTCCAGACAGCAGGAACTTTGGTAACCAAGAAGTTCGTGTTGCTAGTGAGACAGATACTTCCTTCCAGAGTATTGTCATTGTCACTTCACATTCAGTCTTTCTCTCTGGGAAGACCATGAAACCCCAAGTGAAATTTTGTTCAATGCTGGACATGAGTTTTTGGCATGGTGCATCTTTAGACATAAACAGACCTGGTCTGGATTCCTACAAAACGTTGTAAGTCTTTCTGGCTAAACTAGCATAATTTCTAAGTGAATAACATGAGACAAATTTTTTCAAGTTTGCAGTTTCCTGAAAACTTCATACAGAACTAGCTGAAGTTTTCTGACCTGAAACCAAACTTTGCCAAAGTCCAAGAATCTTCAGATTCTAGATTTTCACTTGAGCCATCTTGTCTTGAGAATCTGATGATCTTTCCAGAGACTTCCTTGTTTCTTCTTACTTTTTGGTATAGTAGTTGCTTTGTATTTTCATTGACAACAGTGTTTGCTAATTTTGGATGTGTCAGGTTTTAATTATAAAGACTCTACAAGTCCTCCACTTACACTGGTCCTGGGCAAAGCTCTTTCTGGAGTGGATCAAATTTGCACATGCTTAACACCTCACAAAGACCGAATCATGTATCAGTCAGCCTCAGCACCTAAAGCAAGAATACTCTGAAATAACCGAGGACCCTTTGTTGTGCAGAGTTTAGGTTTTGGGATGTAGCAGTACAACATTAGGAAGCACGCTTTGAGAAAGTTTACATCTGAGTAAATATACAAAGAAATAAGCACATAGAGGATAATGCGATTATGTTCTAGAGCCACCTGGACGATCTCTATCTTACCCAGTTGTCTCCTGCCTTAGTTTAGACTTGGTAGCTGTTCACGCACTCTCTGAGATCACTGGCCACTTTGTCTGTTTCTTATTACTTCATTGATAGAACTCTCTGGATTTTATTAGTTTTTATCCTTTGATTTCAGGATCATTCCCATTTTCCTTGTTCATCGCCCTGCTAATAACATCCCCTATGCGACAGTGGAAGAGGAGCTGGTTGGGGAATTTGTGAAATACTCTGTCAGGGATGGCAAGGAAGTGAATTTCCTGAGAAGAGACTCAGAGGCTGGCCAGAAGTGTTGCACCTTCCAGCACTGGGTGTATGAGAAGACCAATGGAAACTTGCTTGTAACGGACCTGCAAGGTGAGTTGTCCGAGCAGGGGCAGTAAAATGGCGTTCCCATGTGGTGACCACTCACAGTCAATCCCCGTAACTGCAGAACCTCCAGAGACACTTCTGAGCAGTGTTATTCTTGGCTTTCTGTGTCCTGTTGGCAGTGCTGAACGTGCTTCTTCCATAACCTTGTAATGGGCAGAGACTTCTCCAGATGTGGACAGTACCCTGGCCCTGTGCCTGTTTTATACAGCATCTCATGCAGGTCAGAATAAAAGACAGGAGAGGGAGTTAGGATATTTTATTTTCTAGTCTCTTTTAAGTGCACTGTGTTTATTTGTGTGTGTGTTACCCTAGGGACCAGACATACATTAATTAATTGCGTACTGTGGCCGCAGGGGATAACATGTATTAACCTATGCAGTTTTATGATGTTTATCTAATCAGCAGAGAAAGGGAATTTCTACCTAGCTTATATTCTTGTAAGAAGACAGTTTGGAAAAGAAAAAACCAAATCTTACACTCTTTTAAGAGGAGAGTTGTTCTTCCACATGTCCCCTTAGTAAGTCAGGACCCTCAATGTGAGTCAAGTCTAGCTTATTATCTCACCTCCCAGAGTTTAACGAAATGTCTTGTGAATGAAAGACTTCACTTTTTCTTGTGTTTACTTACCCACAGTCTCTCAACAGTGGAATGCTACACATTCACGCTAGGTTTGAAGAAACATGTTCCTTCAAAAAAGGAGAATGGTGAAGAGAAACACTCCTCACCTCTACTAAATACTGCTCTTATGCTCCTGTGGGTGTGACTCCTAACTGCTAAAGTGCTGGGCCTGTACCCAAAACTGTATGCACGGATGTATTTGTAACAGAGAAAGACAGACACTTACCATAGAATCATAGAGTCATTAGGTTGCAATAGACCTCTGAGAGAAAATATTGCCTATTCTTTAACAAGAGAAAGCAGGAAAATTAGCCACAAGATACCTGAACAAGACCCTGAAGTAATTTAAAGGGAGAAGAACAAAATCATAGCCTGAGGGAAGCACAACAGCAGAAATGGTATCTGAGCCTCTATAATGATTCCTGGGACAATACACCTGCTGCTGTTGAAGGGGAACATCCTTCCTCTCATCTTCTCATTTGAATATCTAGGCTGTATTTTTCAGGCATACTAGTTGAGATTTCTGAGAGTATTCTCCAAGGAAAATGGTCTTGAGACCATCATTTTCCTGTATAGAAAAAAAGTGCACACTGCAGGACTGGATTTTGCCTATAAACAAGTCAACAGAGGGATGGGTTAAAAACGTGAAATACTTGGAAATACTGAATGAGAAAGGGATTTGGGATACGTCCTCCAAAAAGTAAAAATAAGGTTGACTGACCTATTGCTATTTGATTAGCAAAGCAAATATGCAGTTCCTACTGATAAACATTGTACTCCAAGCTTGCAAAGCATCAAACCCACAAAACCCATAAATAAATACACACATCTCAGGGCAGGTGCATAAACAAAGATTTTGTGTGTTTCTTAAAATGCAGTCATCAAAGTGCAATCTCCTTCCCCCCACTGACAATCTAGCACAGGATACAAGTTACGCTCTATTTATCACCTTGCTATCTGTAAAATACTGGTATAAGACTAGTTGCTGGTGATACAGAGAGCACAAACATCCCATTTTTAATTGGGGTGCTTTCAAATGTTTTGAAAAAATGGTGACAAATAATTAGATTAAAACCATAAATCAATAAATAATATTTAATGGCTCTATATATGGTGCTCTTGAATCTGAAGATATCCCTAGAAGTTCTAGTGCAACATAAGCTCTCTGTTTCCTTAATGCTTTGTAGGTGTAGGAATGAAGTTAACTGACGTTGGCATAGCAACACTGGCCAAAGGGTGAGTGAAAATTTATTTCTCAACAGCATGGTTTTGCTTTACACATCAGTCTCTTCACAGTGTAAATATGTTGGGGGAGGGTGCACTGGAATTTTATTCTTGCTTTAACTTTGGAAGAAAACAATCGTCATGTAACTCTTCTAACTTCTTTTTGTTCGTATTTATGGGAACCTGCCTAAGAGGGAAACACATTTGTTTTGTCTAAAATGATGGGGCTACACTGTAGATTGAGCTTTGCTCTTCCTTCATGCCTCCCTTAAAGTAGGCTTATTCAAAGGGCCTTTCATGGCTGAAATCAAGGTCTCTGGTGACTTGCAAGGAAGTAAGGCACTGTACTTGGTGGTACCTCAGCTGGCGGAGGGTAGAGCTGAAAATGCAGTGCCAACAGTGGCTCCAGCTGGGGTACAGTGAAATTCCTGGTGTTTGTGCTATCCAGAGCAAGCTTCTGACCATGCAGGAAATATCTCAAATGCAGCACGCTGCTGGAGCCAGAGCTCCAGCTGGGCTTGCCCTTACTGGCACCTGCCCCAGTGAATGCAAATAAAGTGCTTGTCCCTGTCTAGCCCTACTGTTAGATCCTGCTGCCAGCAGCCGAGGTGACCCTTCTCCCCTCCTGCTCTGGAAGAAGAGAAGCTAAGTGCCACAGTACTGTGGAGACTAGAGAAGGAGATGCCATGAAAGGGGCCAAAGTTTGTATTGCCCTTTTTGCAAGGAATTTAAAGGGATTGTGCAGGGACTGCATGAGAGAGCACAGCTGAAGTCCCTTTTGCAACAGCAAAAGTGCCAAAGCTTTAGAATATGTTTTTATGACAAGCTTTTATAAAGACTCTTTTCTCAGTTTAGAACTCTATGAGTTAGTTTTTCTTCCCACAGCAGGCAGTGATCGTAAGCTTTTCTTGAGTCCCTGTCAGTTGCGTGGATGGAGGAAAGGTGCCTGTTTAGCTCTGTAGGAAGATGTCTGTTTAGCTCTGTATAGGCCACTTACCTGATAAAAAAGGAAATGTGTTAAGGGATTGGATGGTATCTCTTT